ACGAATATTAATATGAATAGTCAGTTCCAACGATGTTTAAGAACTTTATATAGAAAATATGATAAGGAAATAAAGTAAAACTATGTGATAAGATTTCATGATTATTTTCGAAATGTTATACGATAACTTATTTCCGAAGGCAGGTCCAAACTATTCATCAGATCAACAAGTCAACAGGAACAAAAGCGATCCCTCACTCTCTCTCCATATATATTCAGTCGTGATTGCACTTCTTTGCCTGATTTCCATAATTTATCTCGTCCTCACATTCGAACCAACAACCCCATGAGCCTGACTCCGATAACAGACAGAGATATCATCAATGTTGTTAATGGCCTTAAAACTTCCTCTCCAGGGGACGACTGCATTCCCAGCAACGTTATTAAGAAAATACTTCCTTGCATTCTTAAGCCCCTGAAACATGTAATTACTATATCATTTAGTATGGGAGTATTTCCCACGAAACTCAAGATTGCCAAAGTTCATCCCATGTTCAAGACTGGATCCCATTGCCTTAATAACTATCGCCCAATTTCCATACTAACAGCTCTTAGCAAAATCATGTCCATTAGATTAACTGATTTTCTTTATGCAAATGATATAATCAACAATTGTCAGTATGGTTTCTTGAAGAACAAATCATCTGAATTAGCTGTTTCAGACTTTTACAAATAAACTTTAAAATCTTTTGATGGTCGCAAATTTACTCTTGCTACATGCTTAGACTTTTCCAAAGCATTCGATACGGTCAACCATCAATTCTTTTGGAAAAATTATACCATTACGGTATAAAAGGGAGTGTACATGCTTGGTTCGCTTCGTATCTGTCAAACCGCACACAGTATGTAGTTTTCAATGACTGCAACTCCTCTAAAAGAACTATCGCTCATGGAGTCCCACAGGGCTCCATCTTGGGACCCATTCTGTTCCTTCTTTACATCAATGATATTGTCAATGCGAGCTGTCTGAGCTTCACTCTCTATGCTGATGATACTTGCTGTTAATCAACACCACAAACAGTGAAATGACAAACATAAGAAGATGGATGACTCTAAATAAGCTTACCATGAATGTCGACAAGACACATTATATAATTTTTCATAGAAATAAAGACATGCCTCCTGTTTTACCTCATGTCACTGTCGCAAATGTCCCAATCAAAAGGGTTTTTCATACAAAGTTCCTTGGGATTCACGTCGATTCCCAGTTAAATTGGAAAACACACATAGACAATGTAGTATCTAAACTAAATAAACTTTGTGGACTTCTTCATCAACTGCGCAAAACATTACCCTTGAAAGCCTTGCAACAGTTATATTACACATTAGTTTACCCACATTTTATTTATGGGCAAACTATCTGGGGTGCTACATGCTCTACCTCAATTAAACCTTTACTTATAACAAAAAAGAATTGTACGTAGTATCTTGGGTCTTAGAAGAAATGATCACACTCATGAAGCCTTCCTAAATCTCAGAATTTTAAAAATCAAGGAAATTGATACTTACTGCTGTGCACTCTTTGTTTTTAAAAGCCTAAATTCCCAAAGTAATGACATGTTTTATCACAGAACTAACGACAGATATCCCCTAAGAGGCAATAATATGCTAGCTGTTCCATCCATGCAGTCTGATCAATCTAAATCATGTATACTATATCATGGACCAACTCTCTGGAATGCTCTCCCTGATGATGTACGTAGCTGTGCTACTTTGTCCTCTTTTAAACGATCACTGAAATGTTACTTGTTATCACAATATATCATATAATGTTTAACTGTACTTTTTTATTATATTTTTTTCTATTATTTGCTCTTGCATCTACTGTAATTATGTTTGTATATATGTATATGTGTATATGTATATAATGTATGTATGTGTATGTGTGCATATAAATATATATATATATATATATATATATATATATATATTATATATTATATATATTATATATATATGTATTGCCATTGGGTTGTGTGTATATATGAATGTATGTCTGTGCATACATATGTATGTGCATTTAAGTATGTGTATGTTTATATCTATACATATATGTATGTGTATCTTTATATGTATATGTCCATGTTTATATATGAGGATGTTTGAGCGTATGTGTATGTAGGTATGTGTGTATTTATATCTATACATATAATGTATGTCTCTTATGCTATTACTGCCTGTAATTTCCCCTAATATAATTATGTACAATGCCATTCAGTAATTGTATTATTAAAGTTTACCTCTAAAGTTACTTACAATATATCGTTTATTTCTCTCTTTCTTCTCTCTTCTCTTTGGTTTGTGTTTTCATCGATTCATTAAGTTCAACGGGGGTCCTCTCTCTTCCTAAGGGGAGTCCTGGGGGAGAGGACTCAGCCAATACGGCCTACCAGTTGTAATATGTTGTAATTTTTTTTGGGTTTGATGGCTATTGTATTTTGCATAAATAAAAATGATTTTGATTCTTGATTATTTGTTTTGCTTCGTTTGGGATTTTCTTC